TCGGATTATTTTTGATACTTTGTCTACTTTCCTCTGAGTTTAGGAAGGGCGTCTCTCTCTATATATGTATATATATTTAAGAGAGATTTTTTGCTATAGGGTGCTTGTACCTACCAGATACACATAGAGAGGCAGAGAGAGAGAAAGTGAAAATGAAAAATTACCCCCTGGGGCATGGCCATGTCACAGTCCTTTCTCCTCCATTCTCCTCTTGGGATTTTGGGCATGCAAGTGCATGCACCCAGCATGTTTCAAACTACCAGGTCCTGGACTTGAACTACAGTTGACCTTGTGGGAGTCCAATGCCTTAACCACTATACCACCTTCTGGCCCCTCACTTTCACATAGAAATAAGGAATACCAACCCTCTAGGGTTACTAAATTCTAGTACTTGTAATTAAAATTAAGAGTAAAATATTTTTTTAAGAATTTTTAAATTTAACTTTATTTATATAAATTTGACTAGAGAGGGACAGAGAGAGAGAAAGTGAGAAAGCAAGTCGCCAGGTCTGGGACATGAACTGCTGTCAGCCATGTGGAAGTACAGTGCCCTTAACCACCATGCCACCTGCCAATCCCAACAGTAAAATAGTATTGGGACCAGCAGATGGCATAATAGCTACGTTACTGGACTGCCATGTAGTCAACCACAGTTCGAGTCCCAGACCTAGTAGCTTAAACTCACGCCAGGCACATGTGCATGTGTGCCCAAGATCCTGAGAAGAGAATGGAGGAGAAGGGATTGCGGCATGGCCATGCTCCCTGGGGGATGATTTCTCACTTTCTCTCTGTCTCTCTCTGTCTTTCTGGCGAGTACACACACCCTAGAGCAAAAACCTCTCAAAAAAAAAAAAAATAGTATTAACTGAGGTCTCCAATTTGATACTCTAAGAACCTGAGCTTCTTCACCATAAGGCAAAACCTTTAGAGTGAATGAACACATCCAGATAGTTGTAATTACTATTTCGTGAGGGATATTTCTTATGAGAACTGTCATCTTTAGTTGATCATGGTTTTTAATTTCTACTTGCCTTGATTTGCTAATACATTTTTGAAATTATTGTTTGGTTTACTTTTGTGGCTAATTTTGTTCATGTCTGACTGCTGAGTTGTAAACTTTCCACTGTTAATTCCTCACAGATTCTTTTATCTCTCTGTTCTATTATTACTAAAAAGTGAAAAACTAAAACACAACAGAGACAAAAGGAAGAATTCCAATTAAATCCATGTCTCTTTCTAGCCCTGGAAATTGAAGGTGAACATTTTGGCATTTCAAAACATGCTAAAGAATAAATAAAATTGTTTCTAATTTAAAAAGAAAAAGGAAACTGAGGTCTAGAAAGGTTAAGTGGCTTGCTAAGGTTTCAGAGGCAGTAAGTGGTGGAAAGGAAATTAAAACTCAGGTCTTAAATTACAACTTGGTCAGATTCCAAAGAATATGCTCTTTCTCCTACATTCCACTGTCAACCCCAGAGTGTTTGCCATCCAGTTTCACCTCCAGATGTCCTTTCCTCCACTCACATGGCTGAATATCAGTCTAAGAATTACTTACCATACAAATCAAATTTCAGTAGGGCTAAATTCAAGAACACTAAATTTTGTTAGCAGGAGTTTGACTGTGACTAAATGGCTAAACTGGTATGTGACTGTGTCTGTAAAGAGATTTGGGATGATATATATACTATATATATAATGTATATATTTCTGCAACTAGATGTAACATCTATATTTCTGGAACCGAAATGTATACTAAGCAGATTGCTATGGTTAAGGTGGCTCTAGAGGTACACAGCATTTGAATACAAGCTACAGAAAAGAAGAGTAGAACTCTAACATTGGAATTTCTTGCAGCTCTTCTGCAAAGGCTCACTGATCTTGGAACACTTGGATGTCTCTTATTGCCCTCAGCTGTCAGACGAGATAATTAAAGCACTGGCCATTTACTGCATCAGCCTGACATCTCTCCATGTTGCTGGCTGTCCAAAGGTATGTGCAGGAGTCAGACCTCAGACATGTCAAACTGCAGCACTGCCAAAATACCCAGGCAGGGCACCAGAGAGGACTCGTTACCGAACTTGTTTTCTTTGTCATCTGTGAAATATTCATAATATCTTGTTTTCTATCCCTAAACTAGAAATAGCTCTATGATTTCATTTGTGTCAAACTAGAATTTTCAAAAAGTTAGAAACATTATTCTCACGCAAATATCAACATACACCTAAGATTTATTTAACTCATTAATTAGAGAGCCAGCAAAATGATAAAGCCAGGGTGTAGAGCATTTAAATGAACTTGATATTTATAGGAATTAAAGAAAGTACATTGGATTATGACTGTTAGATTAGATCTAAGATTGGTTAATATCCTAGGAGGAAATGAAACTGTAAACTTGTTGGGCCAGCCCTGTAGCCTCGTTACCAACTACAGTTCAAATTCTGGTCCAGCTAACTTGAAAAATATACCTGCTCCAAATCCCAACAGAATAGAGAAATGAAGAAAAGGGACTGCATAAACACTTCCCATTAGTGGGTGTTTCTTCCCTCTTTCTGTCACCCTACCGAAACTGCAAATGAAGAGTGAGGCTCCGTGTGGATGCGAAAAACAGGAGAGGCAACAAGAGCAACAAAATTTTGAAGCTTGAATATAAGTGGCCTAATTTAGCAGAGTAGAAACAGCTTTGAATCTAAGCCAATAATCGAGAAAACGGAAAAAAATCTCTTATACCATAGTCATCAAAGTTGGCAGCATTGTGTAGATTGGGTTAAGAGGGGTCGAAAATCAACAAGACTCATTTAGATTCCTAAGAAATAGATCAATCCCAAGATCCCTTCTCCAACTACATACTTTGGGCAGCTGTCCCTCCCTAAGCCAGATAAAAGCCTAGAGATTTATTTCCTAAATCCAAGCTTCTCAACCCTGACACTATTGATACTTGGAACAGGATAATTCATTGCTGTGGAGGATTGTCCTGTGCATGGTCGGGGCCTTAGCAGCACCCTCATTCTCTGCTCACTAGATGCCAATAGCACCAACCCCCCAGTCCTCCAGTTCTGATCATCAAAAATGTCCCAAGACATTGTCAAATGTACTCTAGGGGAGAAAACTCCTTCTAATAGAAACACACTACTCCAGAGATAGTAAAACACAGGGTAGGAGACACCGTGTGTAATTGAGGATATAAGCACAAAAGTGAAAAGAAGAATTAAGTGGCTAAATGCCGAGACGTTTAAATACTTTTTCCAGCCTGAATTTGGCTCCCAAGTCTTTACCTCCAGACAGGAGATTGGTAGGCTCTTCTTGAGAACCCTGACTAGCCCAAGATAAAAGACCTAAAAATACTGACATTGGGGGTTTCCCCCCAAACAACCCACCTAAACCAACTTTCAATGAAACTGATAGCAGAGAAGCCCTACACAGTACACTCAGGCCTCCCAATCTGTTTTTAGTTATTCACTATTAGTTATGAACAGTCAAGAATTGACAGACATAAGAGGAAACTCTCTAAAGTAGAAGATAAAGACCAACACAAATGAACAGGGAAAACTTGGAGTTATCAAAATAAGCAGAAGGAAGAAAACTAAAACATTTTTGTAAAATCCTTAGGAAGCACAGTTATTAACAACCTTGTTCTCTTCTTTCTTCTTTCTCTTTCTTTCTTTCTTTCTTTCTTTCTTTCTTTCTTTCTTTCTTTCTATTTTTGGAGAAGTTTTTGCTATAGGGCATGTGTGCTTGCCAGACAGAGACAGAGAGACAGAAAGTGAGAAATCACGTCCCAGGGGGGATGGCCACGCCGCAATCCCTTCTCCTCCGTTCTCCTCTCGGAATCTTGGGCACGCACACACACGCGCCTGGTGTGAGTTTTAAGCCACCGGGTCCAGGACACGAACCGCGGTCGACTACATGGGACTCCAGCGACATAGCCATTATGCTAACTGCTGGTCCAACCTTGTTCTCTTCTTTATGAACTAGTGGGCTTTTATTTACTATAGCATTACCCCAACTCTCAAAATGCCTGCATCTATCTATTTTAGAAATTCAGCTTCTCTGTTGTTTAGTGTGGTGAGTTGATTAAGAGAGTAACACTAGAACCTTCTTAATCTTCCATAGCTAATTGTGCTGCAGTAACGAGTAGACACTTGCGGAAAAGATGTGGTAAACCATGCCAAAATTAAGCCACAAAGTTGACAGAAAAATTAATTTTCTTTAATATTATACTTGTTTAGAACAGATGATACCAGATCTTTCGGGTCAGTATCACCTGGTTCTAGAAATGAACTGGGTCAAAGAACCCAGCATGCCAGCAGCGCTGACCAACTAACTCTTCAGCGTGATCAGTGACAACTCCCAGGGTACTTGTTCTCACAGCACAGGGACACATGGGCAACACATGGCCCATTGGGAACTGCTCTAGCACAGATGAAGACTGAATTTTGTAGGGATCTACTAACTAGCCAAAGGAAGAAAGCAAGGGAAGAAGGAAAAGGAATGACTCCAGCTAGTTCAGGAAGTAAGGCAAAGGAGTTTTTTCCTCAGCTTTGTTCTTACTTGTTTGTTAAGAACTGAGGAAATCAGGCTGGCCCTATGGCCTATTGGTTAAAGAAGCTGGATTTCATATGGCTAACTATAGTTTGAGTCTTGGGTTGGGGGCTTGGAAAACAGACTATTCATGTGTATGTGCATGTCTGAAATCCTGACAGGATGGAGAAGTGGAAGAGAAAGGATTGCAGTGTGACAATTTCCACTGCAAGGGGCTTTTTCTCTCCCTCTCTGACAGCCAAGGAGCCTTTTTCCTTTCTCACTCTGCTCTCTGGTTATTAAAAAACAAACAAACAAAAAGAACTGAAGGAATTTCTTCTATTAATATAAACTGTACAGTAGATACTGTTTTATAGCCCAGAAATAAGGAAGATGATAAACAAATAAGATATCACAGAATGTGTCACTGCATCAAAGGTCTAGTTTAGGGGCAAAAGGAAGAAAACTAGATTATTTCAGAACGCCAATGTAAAGGGTAAGAGGGCTTCATGTCACTGCCTGAATTGTTCTCATCAGGTGTGGATTAGATAAGTATCCTGATATAGTAGATGTGGTGACTGTTACTTGAGCCAATCTGAGTACTCCTCAATTTACCTCACTTCATCCCACCCAGAAGTCATATGCTATGTTCCAGCCTAATATATTCCACTTACATTGCCTTTGATGAGCCAAAATCATATAATGCTGACTCATCATTCTAGGTCAGGTTTCCCAAAAGCCCACAGGTGAATTTCGAATGGTCACTTTATCCATCTCCTGAAGGCCAGTTCTTTCCGCCAACCACTTCTGTGAGTACAACAGGGATCACATCCTAACTATCACGTCCAAAATGCCAAGCAAAGTAAATGTAGTTCCAAATCAGGAAAGATACTGTTTGCTGTGGGCCCTGTACAAAGCCTTAGCAGTATACTAGGCCTTGTGACTTAGCACTGTCATCTTTGATTCTTAGGACACTGATGTGAGGTAGCAGTTAGTAATGATTTGAAGGAAAGAATGGGGGAGGGGATATGAAAAAAATTAAAATGAATCCCTGAACAACCACGACAAAATGTTTCTGCAGTGTACCCTTGAAGCAAGTTAAGTACGTGAAAACAAGTCAGGGTTTTGGAACTATTTATCAGGGAGGTGTAGGTGATGTGAAGTGAGTTCTCCATGGATCAGTTACCAACTTGTCTGAGTCTGGTGAGACCAAACACACTCACATGCAACAAGTTACATGAGGCAGATTTATTACTTACAGATGAGCAGCAAGGGACAGTAGAAGGCTAAGATTCATAGAAAACTGGTCCCAAAATTCAGGAAAGGGGCATAGGGTAGATAATGTCTCAACTGTACGTACTCCACTTGGATCACCGCTTGCACTCGAGAAAGTAGCACACTCTGGGTTCTCCACCCTGGAGCTATTGGAATCACTGAGCTAAAGCATTGAAAAACATCCTGTCTTTAGTGCAAACTGGAACAGTGTCCTGGCTATTCCAGCCAGTCCTCCCATCTCAGGTTGTTCTGTTCCCAGCACGCTCTACAGTTATTCTAGAGAACTACAAGATAGAACAAGGAGAGGAGTGAGTGATTCTAAGACCATCAGGAAAGCTGTCCTTCAAGCAAAATACATGTGAGGTGATTGAGCCACATCACAAAATCATGCTGTTCTCTAAAATCCTGGTATCCGCTAAGGCACACACCCTTGTGAGTTTAGAAGGGGATGGGAGAAATCCCCAGGGTTTCATAACCAGAATTTCTCATACGAATATGGTAAAAAAACTTTACCCAAAAAGTTTATTATCAGAAATACCACCGGATAGGAGTTAATAATACTTACTGTTTGTCTGTTTTTAATTACTCATTTCACAGATAGGGAAGTTAGGAGTAGAAACGTATAGGGCATTGGGCAAATGACTCAAGATTTAGTGAAGTAATTTAACTCCAGTTCCAGAAACATAGAGTAAAGGGAGAGGAATAGAATATTTGCTAATTCTGGGATTCCATAGGACAATCTTAACTTATTACTGTTTTTTTTTTTTTAAAGAGATTTTTGGTATAGGGCACGTGTGCTTGCCAGAGACAGAAAGATAAATCACAACCCCCCCACCCCCACCCAGAGGGATTAGCCATGCAGCAATCCCTTCTCTTCCATTCTCCTCTCAGGATTGTGAGCATGCACGCACATGTACTTGGCGTGAGTTTTAAGCTGCCAGGTCCGGGACTTGAACCACGGTCAACTATGGGAGTCCAGTGATGTAATCATTATGCTGTTGGCCGGTCCCAGGACAATCTTACTTTAAACCTTTATTTTCTGTTAGTGCAGTTGATCAAAAATCCTTTCAGTTCAGAAGTTTCAAAAAAACCATAAAGAAAATCAATTAGAGGTTTCAAAATAGTCATAAGAATTGATCAATGGGTGAGACTTCTGGTATATATACCGTTGGCTAATGTATCACTTACCTATTACTGGGGAACAGTCACCCCAAAACTCAGTGACTTGAAGTAGCCATTTTATTTGGCCACAGTTCTGCTGGTCTTGAATGGATGGTTCTTCTGCTAGGATTGTTCCTTGGGTTGCCCATATACCTGCAATCACCTATTGGCTCCCTTTGAACTGGTTGACTTAGGGAGCTTAGCTGGGGTAGTTTCCTCCTGATTTCCTAAGTCTCATCCTCCAATGGGCTAGGTAAATTTCTTTAAAAGGCAGCAACTACATTTTAGGAGGGTAAGAAGGCTAGTTGCAAGGCCCCTGGAGGCCAGTTCAGAAGGATATATTGTTGTCCCATTCTTTTGGTCAGAGCAGTCACAAGGCTAGCCTAGAATCAGGGGCTGGGGAAACAGACTCCACTTCTTGATGGGAATACCTACAAAGCATTTGTATATTTTAAACAACCACAACTATATTCTCATATATAAGCTAAAAGAATGACAACTCTTAGAAAATAGCCAAATATAAGATAATATTTAAAAATATAATTACCCTAGAACCTCTCCCTATCTTGCCAAGGTATCCAAGATATTTTCATTATATTTTAAAAGCCTTCCCAAGGTTTAGTGGCTTATCTAAAAGCTAAAGTAAAAACTCGGTCACTCCTTTTTGGCCTGATCTTCAAAGTAAGTAATTTCTTACTGCCATTAGACTTCTATTAGTTAATATCTCATGAAACCAATTGTTCTTCATCCAAAAGTACATTTTGTGGACCATTAAGATCCTTTTCTTGTTGCCCATCTTTGAGGCATTTTTCTTTTCTCGGGATTAACACTAAAGATATTAGTGAAATTATTTAACTTCTCAGCTAGTTAAAATGGGGAGTGGGAGTGGGGGAAAGAAAACAACAGTACAGTCCAGCTATATAAAAGACTAGGATCAAGCTATCTTTTGTAAAAAAAAGAGCTCCTACTTAAACAGACCACTGATCAATGACAAAGGAGAGGAATAATCATAAGGATACCTATTATTTATTGCATTCTTACTACATCCTAGTCACTGTTACAAATATTATCTCATCTAATCCTGTGGAGATCTTGGCACTATTTTATAAATGGGTAAACTAAGGTTTATGGAGAAGGGATTGCAGTGTGACCATCCCCCCTGGGGGGTGATTTCTCGCTTTCTGTCTCTATGTCTCTCTCTGTCTGTCTGGCGAGCGCATGCGCCCTATAGTGAAAATCTCTCCAAAAAGAAAAAGGAAAAAAAATGTTATTATAACAGTAAAAACTTGGAAACAACTGAAATGGTAAAAATAAAAAAAGGGCTCAGAAAAGTAAATTATATGTATAAAATGAAACTGTAACTATTAAAGATTGTAAGTATGAAGACTGAAGTAGTATGAGAATGCTTTAATAAAAAAGAAGCGGATGCAAATTTAATTTTTTTAAAAATTATTTAATTTCATTTATTACTATTATGTTTTTAAAATCTGACCAGAGAGAGGGAGGAAAAATGAAAAAGCAAGCTACCAGGTCTTGGATTTGAATAACAGGTAGCCATGTGAGAATCCATAGCCTTAACTACCACACCACCTGCCTGCCCCGGGATGCAAATTTAATTTAATTCCTACATTTGCAATTCTTTTTTTTCCTGTTTGATTGTTTTTATGACTTTTAAAAAGTGAGCATGAAAATAAATCTTTATTTTCAGGTATTACCCACCAATAAAAGAAAATTAGGTTCACAGTTTTAGCTCTTGACACAAAGTGAACTATGAGGCAAATTAACATCCATCAGATACAACTAATGGACCAACTTTTTAAAGTTCAGGCTATCTTGAAAGCCTGCAACATACCAGATATTGCTGTATATTCTCTAGTGACAGCAATGGCTGACAGTGAGAACTTCTGAAGTACTTTTAATAGCAGGTATTTCCTTTAATATGCTGCTGGAAAATAAGAGCTTTATGTGGGCTAGGGACAGGGAACTACTGAGAAATACAGAATATCTTAAGGGATGAATTGGTGATTGTTTTTTGATAATTATTTTTTGTTAAATTTTTTTGTAATGTGTTTATTTTTTTACTAAAATACAAAATAACTTCATTTAAAAAATAAACTGTTTTAATTCATTGTGTTGCTAATAACAGAAATACCTGAGTCTGGGTACTTTCTAAAGAATAGTGGTTTATTTAGCTCACAGTTTGGGAGTCTGAGGTCAAGAGGCCACAGGTGGTGAGGGTCTTCTTGTTGAAGGATAACATGGCAGAGACAGAGCAAGAAATGCAGCACGTGTCTGTGTCTCCTTATAAACCCATGAGTATCCAACTGTGGGGGCCCCACCCTGATCTTCACCTCCTCCCAAAGGTCCCACCTCTCAACACCATAAAGTTTTTAACCTCTTAACCTTTTCACCAGAAGATCTTAACGCATGAATTTTGAGGAATCACCTTTAAGCCATGGCATAAAACAAAACATGATTTTTTTCAAGTGAATCAAATGTAGTTATCCTGAGAATAACGTCATCTATGGCCAGTGGGGCTGGGACCAGAGTCTTGTATCTGGGAGTTAAGACTGTAGCCAAGTCATCTTCATCCCCAGTTCCCTTCTCCATAAATCCCAAGAATATCACCTCAGCCATCGGACATCTTGCACTTCTTATGTAGAAGTAAAGTCAGAGTCCTTTTTTGCTCTTCTAGCATCAAATAAAACCTACCACTCTGAACTCAATCTGTCCATCATCTCATTGTCCTTCCTTTTTCTGAGGGCTCTCTCCCCTCAGTGACATCAGATCATCAGACACCCACATAGTATGGCAGGAATAAGTGAAGGCATTGCTGTGAGAATCGGTTGCAGTGTCAAACCATGGTCCTGAGCATGTTCTGGAAACAGGGCATGCTTAGAGTGACAATATTTATTTTTCCAAAATGTCCATTTCCCCAGTGAAAGGTCCTTCTGCATAATCCTCTTAACTTTATGTTAAAAACAAGTGCCAAGTCCCATGGCATATTTTTAAGATTGTTCAAATATTTAAAATGAAAATTGAGTTTTTGAGAATTTGAATTTAATTTTAAGAAATTAAATTAAATGAGAATTTTTTTCAGTTGGAAAAAATTCCTTTTGGGAGAGTAATCCAGGTGATTCTGCAGGAAGTCTGGGGTTAGCAATAAATTCAACAGCTAGACCCTGCATAAGTGAAATAACCTAAGAAGTAGAGCTGAATTATCTCTGCAGGATGACATCTGGACAAACTTACAGGATGTTGGGGTCTTGGCAGAACTGCTTCAAAAGGGATTCCTGTAGTCTCTGTAGTTTGTGTCCCTCTTTCTCCCATGTCTCCAAACATCTGTCTTAACTTCTTGTACTTTTCAGAACCAGGTTATCCTATCTTTTTTTCATACAATCCATCAGAGATGTCCAGACTCCCTCTCATAGTAATCTGATCCTGTCTGCAGGTTAACTTAGGGATACATATATTGTATTTTTGTAACATATAATGTTATTAAACGTTTGTTTCCAAATTGATGAGGCCATAGAGTAGATTTTAAGTTTAAAGCCAAGTATCTCTATAATATCTCATAAATTACTCATATTCATGTGACAGGTATTACTAAGGGACTTCTGATGAAGTTTCCCATCCAAACTAGAGGAATTTTTTTATTTCATTTTATTTTATTTTTTTTTTTTGGAGAGGTTTTTGCTAATAGGGCATGTGCACTCACCAGAAAGACAGAGAGAGATAGAGAGACAGAAAGTGAGAAATATCACCCCCAGGGGAGGTAGCCACACTGCAATCCCTTCTCCTCCATTCTCCTCTGAGGATCTTGGGCATGCACACACACGCACCTGGTGTGAGTTTAAGCCACTGGGTCCGGGACTCGAACAGCGGTCATCTACATGGAGTCCAGCAACACAGTCATTACGCCATCTACTGGTCCCCAAACTAGAGGACTCTTAAATAAAAATAACATCAAGTTTACAAATTCTATCAGCATCCCTTGGGGCAATATTTTATTATCCTGATCTTATTTGGAAATAGTGGTAAACCACTAACTTGAATTACAAGCAGGCCTATCATGTGACAAGATGGGCAAGAAAATCTGTAAAAGTACTGATTCTATTTGTTATGGATTGAATGTGTCCTCCTAAGATTCATATATTGAAACCCTAATTCCCAATGTAACAGTGTAAGTGGGGCTATGGGGACTAAATAGATTTAGAAGAGGTCATGAGAATAGAGCCCTCATGATGGGATTATGTCCTTATAAAAAGAGGAAAAGATCAGAGATCTCTCTCTCTCTGCCATGTGAGCATACAGCCAGAAAGTGGACATCTGCAAACCTGAAGGGATCTTGACTTTAACCTTAACCTTGATCTTGAATTTTCCAGTCTCTAGAACTGAAAGAAATAAATATTTCATGTCTAAACCAACTAGTCTATGGTATTTATTCATTCAGTCTAAACTAAGACACTTTCCTTCCCTGGGATGGAGTTTGTCTGAATAACCAGTACTTATTTTTGCCATGTGTTCAGATTACTGACTCAGCGATAGAGATGCTATCAGCAAAATGCCATTACCTGCACATTTTGGATATCTCTGGTTGTATACTGCTTACTGACCAAATTGTTCAGGACCTTCAGAGAGGCTGCAGGCAACTCCGGATCCTTAAGATGCAATACTGTACACGTATTTCCAAGTAAGTACTTAGCTGAAAACGAAAAGGTTTAACAACTGCTTTCTGAGAAAATGTAATATGTGGCTATGGAATTATAACACATAGTGATGTTCAGTTTAGAAAGTTTCATTTTATTTTTGGCCTAATTGAAGCCAACCTTTTGAGTAATACCAAGAAAAGCTCTCTAAGATGGTCTTTGTGGTTTCATCATTCCTTGGAGCCCTTCTATTTTAAGCAGCTTCTCCTCCTTGACCAACCAGGTGGTCTGTCCAAAGCCTTAACTCTACCCCTTTTAGGACTATCTCTATCTCTTCTACTCATCGCTTAAAATGTTGTCCATTTACTTAATCTCCCCTAGGGGTAAAGAAAATCATCTGTTTAAGCCAGTTCATAATTTTTCCCTATTGACTGAGGGTAAAAATGTGCAAGTATTTTAACTGACCTGATGAAGTAACCTGTGAAATGTGAGAATCCTCAACCTGGGAGTTAAGGTTCTTTCCTGCAGGCTGGAAAAATTAGTACTAGAATTAACATTATCGAAGTATAAAATATGGTCCAAGCATGTGGCTTCAGTATGAGTTCTATGGGCCTTGATCACTTGAAGCCTGAGGAAGAAAATTGCTTCTAATCCAAGGCTGTGTGTGTTAAAATGAAACTGGGTCACAGAAGGGGAGAAAAAGTAAAACAGGCATCCCACTGGGCTCAGGCCTGCGGGGGGAGGACCACCAAATGGAGCTGGGTCAGAGAACTAAGGGCAGATCTTTAAAAATTTTTGAAGAGGGCTAGAGACTCAAACCTTCCTGATAGGTCTGGAGATAATTCTGATATGAATATTATTAACCCCAGTTAAAGAAGATACCATGGAGCCAGCCAGTGGCATGGTGGTTAAGGTGACTGGAATCCCACATGGCTGTTTGTGTGGTTTGAGTCCTAGACCTGGAGACCTGAGGAACACACTGGATGCATGTACATGCATGGCCCCAATCCCAGCCGAAAAGTGGAGGAGAAGGGGTTGTGGTATGGCTTTCTCTCTCTCTGTCTCTCGTGTGTGTGTGTGTGTGTGTGTGTGTGCACGCACGAGTGGGTGTGTGTCTCTCCAGAAAATGTATGCACCCTGCGCAACTTGTTATATCATTAGACAAACAACTTTGGGCAAGATTTTAGCAAATTAATAATGTGTTATTCAAAGGAATTTAGCTTCTAATATTTTTTTTCAACTTTTTCTTTCACTTATGATAGAACACATGCACACACACATGAGAGCGAGGGGAAGAAAGATGAGCAACCTCCACAGGGTCTGGTCACACCATGATCATATTCCTCTAGTCCCCCACCTTACTGGATCGTGGGCACTCATGTGTCCCTGACATGTTTCAGGGCTGGAGAAGTGAACTGCATTTGCCATGACTTGGCTTCGCTTAAGCAGCGTGTCACTGCTGCACCACAGAGCTCAGCTCAGAGCTTCTAAACTTTTGATCTCCTGTTGCCAATCACTATTTTTGGGAGATAATATTATTAAACTTCTAAGAAGTGGTATTTTAGGTAGAATGATGCTGGCTATGTCCCCCAAAAGTTTATGTGTGGGACTTGATTGTACTGTCTGTATTGTAAAGGTATTAAGTGAAAACTTAATTCCTTCATGGTGTTCCAGGGATTGAGTTCACAGTGATTCCATTCATAGAAGCAATAGTCTCGTGAATAAATGATGTTTTACAATGAGTTCAACCTCACACAAGAAGGTGTTAGTTCTTGTAAGAACTGGTTGTTATAAAAGAGAGATCAGTCAGGACCGTTCTTTCTCGATGTGCCTGCCATCCTCTGTGCTTCCATCGGCTGTGCCATGGGCCTAGGACTTCGGATTTTCCAGCCACCAGAACCATGGTGAGTTTCAAGCCACTGGGTCCAAGACTCGAACATCAGTCATTATGCCACCTGCTGGCCCTAAGAAAACTACTTTAAACAGGTTAAATGATATGCCCAAGGTTACATAAATAAGAGGCAGAGTCATACTTTGTACCTAGGTCTTTTATTTCTTTGAGAATCATTTACTTAATTTATTATTATTATTTTAAATTTGCTTTAGAGTACATGCACTCACCAGAGAGAGATGAGAGAGAGAGAGAGAGAGAGAGAGAGAGAGAAAGTGAGAAAGCAAGCCACCAAGTCCAGGACTTGAAGTGTTTGGCCATGTGGGAGTCCAGTGCCTTAACCACCACATCACCTGCTGGCCCTGTACCTAGGTCTTGATCATTACTATGCAGCTCTTTTGTCATTAGATTCCATTTTCATGCTTTCTTAAAGCTCTTAAGTTTAAGAGATGAGTAGATGTATGCTCTGTTGTGCCCAATTTACTCCCTGATCATAAGAGCGGCTGCTGATTAACAGCAATCTTTGGTGGTGGTTCCAACACTGCCCTTTCTGCCTACTCAAGAAAGAAGAAGAAAATGAGTAAGGGCAGATAATTTTCCTAAAGGGTTAACCTTGAATTCCTTTTAATTTGTTAAAAAAATGATAACAGTACATTGTTATTACTAACCATCTAATGTGATATTTCACAACTGTTTGTGGCATTGTTTGAAAATCAGTGTTCTATACTGATCCAAAGAAATCTCTCTCATCATGTTACATAATGATGACTAACCACTACCATAGACGGGATCAGTTCCCAAATTGTCTCATACAAAATCTTCAAGTCACTTAGGCCACAGTAAAGTTGAATGTAGTCAAAGGATTCCATAGATTCTCTAAAGAACTTAGAGCACACAAGTGGTTCCTAAATATTAACATACTTCTCCTCAGTAATTCCTAATTCCCATGCGCTGACCATACTGGAGTACTAAGCTACTGAGACATACAGTATGAGTGCACATGAGCACACTGTTTCTGGCAGGAGCATTCAATTTCTACATTTTCAAGTTTCCTAATACTTTTCAAAAGTGCATGTGTCCAAACACAGCTACATAGGATACTGCAATAAAGGACAGGAAAAACTTGCTGGTAGTCACTATGCTCGTCTGTTCTCTTGAGAAGGTCCTAGGGCTTAGAAGAATCAGTTCATGTAAGGATGTCAAAAGCCTTGGGGCCAGCAGATGGCATAGCAGTTACATCCGGGACATGGTGGCTTGAAACTCATGCTGGGAACATGTGCATGTGTGCCCAAGATTCCAGGAGAAGAAAGGAGGTGAAAGGATTGCATCTCCCTGTGTGTGTGTGTGTGTGTGGGGGGGGGTGACTTCTCATTTTCCTTCCCACTGTCCCTGTCTCTCTCTCTTTCCGGAGCACACACACCCTAAAGCAAAATGGTAAGGGCAGTTAAATTCATGAGCTAAGGATTTTCTGAAGGGTGGGAAAGAAGGACATAGTCTACACTAGCATCGAAATTTCTCTAAAAAATAATCCCAGATTTGCTCCAAGTCAGATTCAGATTTTCAGTTTTTTCCCCAGGACCACATTTGTTGTAAAAGTACCTAGGAGTAAAAAAGGCCCTAGAAACATGCCATATTGGAGGAAGGCTGAACCTCCTGGTACTTGAGACTGGGGGAGGATGGGTCTGACACCTGACCTTTGCTCCCCCTCAAGTTTGTAAGTATCACTTCTGGTGGTCATGGAACCCATAATAGTTTCACTGAAGCTAGCTGTGGGTAGATGGAGAACAGTGCTTCCCACTAAGAGCTAAGGTGAGGGGAACAGGAAGCCAAGAAATAAGCACATTTAAGAAATATATACACTTTGGGGCACTTTGACCATGGCTAGGGCTCAATATGCAGCTCACTTTGATTGTGTTCTATCATATTGCATTAATGGGTACTCTCCCTATTTTTCTTATTTAAAATTGATACGCACTATTCTGTTCTATCGGTCTACATGTTTGTTTGTATGCAGGCACCATGCTGTTTAAGTTACTATAGCCTGAGACGGTAACATTCTTAAGTTTCTTTTTCTTGTTATTTTCTCAAATTCCTACTACTTGCTGATTGTTTTAATATCATGATTATAACCTAATGTACCCTGGTTTTTAGCTGACTGAGGAACATATAACCCATTATTTATATATATTCCAAACTGAGCATTCTTATCCTCTTATCAGTTATGTACACTCATAAACTGTCACGCTCTTGAAGTTATAGGTAATGTTACGGTCATCAGGAAAGTCATAACATACTTTTTGTTATAGGTAATGTTACGGTCATCAGGAAAGTCGTAACATACTTTTCCATGTTTTCTATGCAAAAATGCATCATGACTTCCTTGATAACCCAAAACTTTGGTCAATTGCTTGCAAATGTTTTACTCACTAAGACAAACACTTTCTTTTTCTATAGGTCAAGACCATTGTTGTCTCTAACTGTAGTGCTCTTGAAGTACAGTCAACAAAGTAGCCTTGAATCACTATGAATAACTGTGAACTCCCATATGAGTGCTCAGAGCTCTGCTCTTTAGGAGGCAGGGGGCAAGAGGGTGTTGAAAATAGGAACCTAAGAATGCCTCTTCCAGACCAACAAACCAGCAGAAGCCAAGAGAGTTAAAGCACTTCCTTTCCTGGTATATACTGCTGAAGTCCCTAGTTTTACTAGTTACTGATAGGCTTTAGGGAGATACAAAGAAACGTAACATACCCTTAAACAACTTACTACCTTCTTAAGAGGAAAATAACAAAGCTTGAAATTATAAAATATATTATACATTTAATGCCATGAAGCTACATACTGGAAAGATATTAATTCCGTAAATTCTACTCCACTTTCTACAGATGTTCATAGGAGGAAGGGACTGGGTTTGAGTCATTACAAAAGAAGGTAAATTGCTTTGGAGTTTGAAAAATTGATAAAGTTTAGACAGGTAGAGATGGGGTGTACAATGGGATTTTATTGCCCAGGATAGTGTTTAACCCATTTGAAAATGATAGCAGTGTGGGGAACATCAGGCCCAGCACCCACAGCACAACATGGCTTCCTGTCCACAGCTCATGAATTAGAGACATGGATATAGGTCAGCAAGCAGAATTAAGAAGGAAGAACAGAGCTTCTAAACAGAGTGTGGGTTCTGAATGAGTTGCCAAAGAACAGAGGCAAGGGTTTTTTTTTTTTATCTGGGTCAGAGGGGCATTGTACATGCTTGCTTCCACGTGGAACTTGTGCATGCGTTTCCCTCATGGTGGGGGGGGGTCACATGTTGGATGGGTCCAGTTATTTTTCTCCTAATGTTAGAGTGAGTATGAAGGTCAGGAAACTCTCTTTGCCTAAAATCTTTGGGTCATAAAAGACCTTTACCTTCTTCCTGGAATGTGGTGGGACCAGAAAAAAAGGCTGTTTCAGGTCATGCTGACTACGTTAATCATTGAATTTCTGTTGGACGTCTCTGTGGAGCAAGCAGCTATGCTGTTGTGTTTCCTCTCTTAGCTATGACATGATTTCGTTTAGAGCCTATACTCTTAACTGTATTCTTAGAGTCTCTGTCTCCTATCTCACATGGGTTCTTATAAGGCTTTTACAAAGAAGTAGTGGTTAATGGTTACAAGAGTTCTTGTATCATTTTGGGTCCTGGTATGGGTGCCTTTTGGTCCTAACTGTGGCCCTTTGCCACCAGCTATTCTTTTGATAGCATCTTCCATGTATTTTGGGCCTATCTGCTTATCTCACAGTTTTCATTGGGCCCAGGTACTTTAGATGTGTCTGTTAATTTCTGAGCTGACTGAACCAGAGAGCTACTTAGGCTTTGGGACCCCCATTAACAGCACAATTACCCACACCCTCCCTCTAGGCAAGGTAAGAGAGCTCTGAAGTGAATGACTTGTGACAGTGAGTTTTCTAACAACAAATTTGGTTTTAAAATTCTGCACTAGAGATTACTTTTACAACTAGCTAATGGTAATCACTGTTATTACAGGGAGGCAGCTCACAAAATGTCATCTGTAGTTCAGCAACAAGAGTACAGCTCTAACGACCCTCCACCTTGGTTTGGCTATGATAGCGAAGGCAAGCCTCTTTCAGAGGATCTCAATACAACAGTTAAAGCAAACTTGCTATTTTCAGCAATGAAAGAGTCAGCATACAAAATTGAAGAGGAAATATGACCATCAGATTTAAGCAGGAAGAACAAAAAATCTAGAACTTCATCTGTTGCAAGTTTTACTGGCTTGATCTCAATATCAATGTAAACAAGCAGCAAATCATCTGATTCTTATTTCAACGATAAATGTTCCTAAATACATTGTGAGTTCTTCGGTCTAAACAGTCATGATTTTAAAAAGTCAAGTACTACTACTATGTAAATGTCCCACCTAAATTTAACTCTACGAAACCAGTATTTTTGATGTGATTATCAAATCTACAGTTACGCTTACATGAAACAACACTTAGAGATGTGCCTTTTTTCACAAGGAATTTAGAAGGTTCTTCCCCCCCCCTATAGGGCTTGTGCGCTTGCCAGAAAGACAGAGAGAGACAGAGAGACAGAAAGCAAGAAATCACCTCCCAGGGGGATGGCCACGCCGCAATCCCTTCTCCTCCATTCTCCTCTCGGGATCTTGGGCACACACGCACAGGCGCCTGGTGTGAGTTTAAGCCACCGGATTCGGGACTTGAACCGTGGTCGACTACATGGGAGTCCAGTGACATAGCCATTACACCAACTGCTGGTCCCTAGAAGCTTCTCTTTAGAAAGGAAAAGAAAGCAGAGATGGCTATGGAAGTCAGAGTAAGAGTTTGAACCAGGACTTTAAGCATGTAAAGTTTATTTTAAAGGACATAGGCATACATTTGCAAAGGAAACAGGGCTTTCTTACGATTTCCAAACGTTTAATAACAAAAGAGAACTAAATGCCAATAACCTTGGATTCACCTCAACATTTGACTAACAGTCAGGGGTAAATAAAATAGAAACAAGAACTATCCGGAATAGAAAGGATATCCCTGCAGTGTCCAAAAAGATTTCTCTTTAATCAAATTACTGTATGGAGTAATTTCTATACTATGCTATGCCCAAAAATTGCCTCAGTTTTATGCTAGGAGGTATGGCTAATTAGTTGTATATCCACATTAATTTTAATAAGCTTTCATTCATGGATTTTGACCATTATTTTAACACTGATGTTAATGGAGTTCGGGAGAAAGCACGAGTTAGTTCTGATTGCCACAGATAAGCTGGGTTAGTCATAATAGATCAGTCTTTTTACCGTTCCATTTCCTCAGTTACTTTATCTGTTCAATGGAGTTAATTTCTATATTTTGTATCCCACAGTGTGAAGTAAAGATAAAAAGTAAAAATAAAAGATATTAAAGTTATTTTCAAAAGTTTTAAATGGGCTGTACAAAGTATTATTGTAGGAAATGCTACACTAACTACTTTTAATATATTCTGTTCCTTAAGTGATTTTGAAATTCTTTATAAATAAAGTACTATCATTCAGCTGTAGAAAGTTTCCTAGTAGAGAACAGCAGGGTAATCAGTTAAGTAGAAAGTTTCAAGACCTGACCTAAAAGACTGAAGATGACTATTGTAAAGAGTGTGATTTTTAACCATTACGTTGTCGGCAAAGTCATGACATATTTTTCTGCTTTTCTTTGCAAAAGTGCATCATAACTTTCCCGACAACCCAATAAATGTGGAGGTTTCTGGCAAAACTGAAGAGGAAATATGATAGTTTCAAAGCTTTGACCACCCCTATGTGACTCATACACACAACTAGAGAGTCCTGGTAAAGCTGCCTGGGGAAAACCAGAGTAAGAGAAACACACTCTGCTATGTTCTCTAGAAACCCAGCAGGTTGCTCAACTGTCAGAGCTTGCTTCAAAACTCTTTGATTAACATCTTCCTTAGAAATGAGAACAGGAAATGCATTAATTCATTCTGGGAGACAAATTTTATAGCCACAGAAATAAAAAGGGTAGGTATTAGAAAAATGAGCTATAAAAAGGGGACCAATTAGTAGAGTGGACAGGTAAGAACTCTTGGAGTTCTTACTGCAAAGTACTCGAGGTATTCAGGCGTTACTTAGTTCTTTAGGGATTAAGCATTTGATATCTATCTGTATCTGAGAAAGTAAAATATGACAGCGTTTCCTTTTTGTTTGGGACTTAACTATGTGATCCAAATATGTGCAATTCCATTAACAATTTAAATATAGTTGACTGATGTTATGCTCTTGGCCCTTTGGGTTGTTGTTGGCTAAGTTCATTAACTTTATTCTTAGTCATAAAAATGTTTATATAATTCCATGAGAGTGAAGAAATATTATAAAAATTGCCTCATTGCCTCACATTTTCCTTTACCTGATTGTTTAACACACACATCACAACCACATCAAGTATACCAACATGTATCTTTCAAACTTGTACACATTCTAACTTCTTTCTTTCCTTCTCTTTCTTTCTTTCTCTTTCTTCTCTCTTTTTCTTTCTTTCTTCTTCTTCTTCTTCTTTTTTAATTGCCAGAGGGCATATGTGCTCACCAGGAGAGAGTGAAGGAGAGAAAGTATTCCCCCAATGAGGCATGGTCACATTGCAATCCTTTTCTTCCATTTCTTCATCCTGTCAGGATGTGGGGCACACATACACATCTGCCTGGCATGCTTTTCAAGCTGTTGTAGCTGGAATTTGAACTGTAGGTGACCATGTGGGATCTGGCTCCCTAAATATGGTGCTTAACTGCTTTAACTGCTGTGCTATGGGGCTGGCCCAAATTCTGATTTCTTGAAGGGTGAATTAAAAGGAAGCTTTAGACATCCCACAAAACTAACTTAGTTTCATAAGCAAAAAGTCAAAAAACAGCTTAAAGAAATGGAATATTAATGAAAATGTGATTATTATAAATGACAATATTTAGAAAGTTTTATTAAAACTGATTTATCCCAATCATAAAGAAGATAGATCAATTAAGTGTTGAATAATTTTGTTAAAGAACTATGTATTCTTTTTTTTTTTTAGGAGAGGTGTTTGCAATAGGGTGCGTGCGCTCGCCAGAAAGACGAAGAGAGACAAAGAGATAGAAAGCAAGAAATCACCCCTGAGGAGGGGTGGCAACGCCGCAATCCCTTTTCCTTCATTCTCCTCTCGGGATCTTGGGCACACATGCACAAGCACCCGGTGTGAGTTTAAGCCACCAGGTCCAGGACTCGAACCGTGGTCAACTACATGGGAGTCCAGGGACATAGTCATTATGCTAACTACTGGTCCCAAACTATGTATTCTAATATATTTATTATTATTATTTTTTAATTTGACCAGAGACAGAAAGAAAAAGGAAAAGTAAGAAAGCAAGCTGACACATCTGGGATTTTAACAACAGTTGGCCATGTAGGAGTCTAGTGCCTTAACCACCACATCACCTGCTATTGCATAATTTAAATGTTCCACGAGTAGACAAATGAGGTTTAAAAGAAAGAGAATTCATAAAATAACTTTATATAGTACATTGATAAAAAGGTGAAAATCTGATCTTCATATATAAAGCTATAAAATTGTTGAAATTTCTTTACCCTAGCAAAGTATTTCCTAAATTACCAAAAGAAAAAAGAAAAAAATCAGTAGCAACCATTTCACATTTATGATAAATTTTTATTCACAGATTAAATTTACATTGATGCCATAAAAGGTACTAGGAAAACCTGTCATATAAGGGCTATAGTAAATGAATTCTAACACTGCTGCCTCCAATGACCAAATACCATTGTATAATTTCCCCTTGAGTGGAGGTGAAACCTGAATATGATATGATTTCACCTCCAAGATTTCCAAGATTATGTTATGGTATATGGTGAAAAAAAAGATTAACTTGGGTGGGCCTTACCAAATCAGGTAAGCCCTTTAAAAGTGGAGATTTTTCCAGAAATAGTAGTCAGATATTCAAAGTGTGAAAAGGATTCAATGTATCATTTCTGGCTTGATGACAAAGCAGAGTACATGAGAAGGGATGCAGGTGGCCCCTAGAAGCTTAGCATGATTGCTGGCTGACGGTCATACAGTTGCAAGGAACTGGATTTTGCCAATAATTTAATGAACTTAGAAACAGATTTCTAGGGGCCTGCAGATGGCATATCAATTACGTTGCTGAACTCCCACATGGCTGACCGCGGTTCAAGTCCTGGACTTGGTGGCTTGAAACTTACACCAGGCATGTGTGCATGCAGGCCCAAGATTCCAGGAGGAGAATGGAGGAGAAGGGATTGTAGTGTGGTCATCTCCCCCGGGGTGGAGGGGGGCAATTTCTCACTTTCCCTCTCACTGTGTCTGTCTCTCTCTCTCCAGTGAGCATATTGCCCTCAGGCAAAAGTCTCTAAAATAAATAAATAAACAAAAGTAGTAAATTTCTTGGAGGCCAGCAGGTGGCATGGTGGTTTAGGGGCTGGACTACCATATGGCCAACCATGGTTTGAGTCCTTGACCTGGCGGCTTGTTTTCTTGCTTTCCCACTCTCTCCCATGAGTGGACGTGTTCTGTAGTAAATTTAAAAAACAATAATGATAGATAAAATTAAATAAATAGTTCTTAAAAAAAAAAAAGAAGTAAATTTCTCCCCAAAATCTTCAGGGGAGAATTCAATCTGGCCAGCACCTTGATCCTAGCCTTGTGATACTTGCAGCAGACACCCTAGCCATGTAGGGTTCTTGATCAACAGAACCATGAGCTGATGAATGCACACTATTTTTAAGCAGCTAAGTTTATAGTAATATGCTACAGAGCAACAGAAAACAAATAACAAGAGCAAAGTAAGAAATATTCTGAAAAGGACTCATCATTATCCATTTCCAATTTGTTGTTTTCAACCTTTATCTGAACAATGGTGTTTGCATTGCTTTGTAGTCACAGATCTGTTCATCACTGTTAAAAGTCAAAAACACAAATCAAATCATTCTTAGTCCTGCAGTTTCAGGGATTGAAACCAGCTTTGACTTCTAAAACTTACAGAGCCTTTTGGGGCATCTGCCTTAATCCATTTTTCATGTTGGCTTGCTTGATTCATGAGTCCTGAAAAATAAAATTGGATAAAGTTATACCACATAGGCCCTAACAATACATCGCTAAAATTGGAAATCACCTCAGAACTCTAGAAATCTTAGTAAAGGTTGTTTGAGCTGGGAAAGTTGCAAAGAGGTTATCTGAACTTATGTTCCTCTTTTCATTTCAGAACAACTCTAAAAGGCAAGTTACTCTATTTTATTTGTATTGTTTTTACATAGGTTTATAAAGGAGCTTTTCTGAAGTATAACTGACAAAATATGCTACATGCATCTAAAGTATACAATGTAATAACTTTAGACATACGTAAAAATCTATAAAACTATCTCCTCAATCAAGGGTATGAACATATCCATCACTTCTAATAGTGCCCTGTACCCCTTTGTAGTCTTTCCCTCATGCCTGTTAAATCAAATTAAATTTTGGCCTGAGGGTCGGCAGTTGGCATGGTGGTTAAGGGTGCTGGACTCCCACATGACCAGCTTCGGTTCAAGTCCCAGAAGGGGAAGCTTGCTTTCTCACTTTCCCTCTCTCTCTCTTTCTCTCTCTGTCCCTCTCTGGTCAAATTAAAATAAAGAAAGAAAGTTAAATAAAATAATTCTTTTAAAAAATTTTGGCCTGACAAAGCCTCTGTACTTGCCTTGAGTTCTTACCTATGGACCTCAATCTAAATATACGAATAAACTGAAAGCCTAATTTAGGAGTAGGCTTCTGTAACAAATAGCTGAATCACAACCAATCACAGCAACCATGCTTTAGTCAGTCACAGGTGGCCAACTCTCCAAACCATGTTCGGAGAAGGCAAACACCAGGTTGTAACCAATCCAGCTGTTTCTCTATCTCCTTTCTGTCTTATACACACCACTTTCTTTTTTTCTGTCCATAAATGTCTGGACAGGTAACAGGCCCAAAGTTCCTCAAAATCAGTTCTGAGGGCTGCCTGATTCACAAATTGTTCTTTACTGAATTTAACTCTATTAAATTACCCAAAGTTCTCTTTTAATGTGCCCCTCCTGGTCACTCTGCACCCCATCTCCCAGCAATCACTGGTTAGCAGACCCTCTCTGTGCAGTTCACCTCCCTGGAACACTCTCTCTTGTGAATTTGGGGCAGTCCAGATGCTCAGTCCAGTCTCCCACTCAGGGAGTCTGCTGGGCTCTGCTGTGTTACCCCTCTCTGCCCTACAGCCCAGAAACTCTCCCAGGAAACAGGCTGCTACTATCACAGACCTCACCGGTTAGTGTCCCATTTCTAATCTAAATTTTCTCTGTTAGTCAAGGTAATTAATGTGTTATAGCTCCTCCAGAGCCCCTGTGCAATTCTGGATGTAAGAATCTAGTCAAATCAGAACTAAGGACAGTTGTGAACACATGGCTGCAATTCATTATATGAACACTTCCCAAGTCGAATCCAAGTGCACAATTCTGAGAATGATTCTCGTCTTGAGGAAGGTTTTTACCTTTGTTGGTACCATATGATATTCTGTTGAAAAGGTGCCTGTGCCAGATAATCTTTGTGTCAAATGCTTTTCTCAGGCAAAGCTTCTCTCCCCTTCACTCTGATCCTGTCTCTTTCCCAGAACACCGCTGAGCATTGGATGAGTTCCTTTGGAGTTTTCCTTCTATATTTTTAGTATCATCATGACCCTACTACTCATTAGCTTTGATAAATTGGTTAAAATCTCTCTAAAAAGCTTTTCTTTTTCCTTTAACTCTCTATTAATAAGAAGTTCAGCTTCATCAATTTTAAGCTTGTGTTTTTCATGCCTGGGTTGCATTTGGTAGGTCGGAAAGGTTGAGGTACTTTGCACCCGACAGTTTTGCTACACTACAGAATTTCTTAGTAATTCAAATAAACCTGCAGGAAAGAGCTAGAAAGCGTCAGGGTTTTATGTTTGTTTGTTGTTTTGTTCTTTTTTTAAACACCATTTAGCACGAATAAAAAGACATCAACTTTCCTATAAAATTTTACATAGAGAAAAGCTTACAGACTAAGAATATAAAGAAAACATCTTTATATAGTTGTGGAATGTGTTTTAAGCTACATGTTATTAAAATAATCAAATAGTTTTTAAACATTTTCTAAAACAATATATTTTCTAAAACAAAAACAAAGCTAATTTATTATTGAAGAAACAAAAAGTGTGTTTTATAAATTTAATGCAGCCTAGGTGTACAGTTTTTAGCTTTCCTAAACATCTGAGATCTTTTCCTTCGTATGATATTCATCATCTCCCCAACCTGCATTTCTTGCTTATGGAGAAGCTTACTGACCATTTCCTTCTGCAGCAGCAGGAGCCAAACACGAGGCTACTGCTCTTAACAATACGGCACATAAGCAATTTCAGCCTACAGACAATACTCAAAAGGCAAGAGAGTTTATAAACTTCCATTTAGGTTTCTTTAAAATATCCTTCTCCATCTTGTCAGTGATGTACTGAAAGCTCTTTGTGTTTTGGCTTGAATCTATGGAGACGCTATTCTAATTTGTTAAGTTTATAAATCCCTTCCTATAAAAGTCTTGCAACACACATTGGAACTTTGGGTTCCAGAAACCTTCTTCCTTATTTACTTCTCTTTGCCAGTGAAAATCAGACAATGTTTCTTTGACTGAAAAATGGGAAAATGACTATCCTATGCAATGTAGCTTCCATTAAATGGGAGGAAAGTTTTCTTAGGACATGTTTTTAACACTGCCATCTTCTCTCCAAAGGCCTGCTCAGATCCACCCCAAAAGAGTAATGCATTGATTAACAATGGGGGTATATTCTGAGAAATGTGTCATTAGTGTTTTGCTATCATATAAATATCATAGAGTGTACTTAGACAAACCTACGTAGTGTAGGATACATGGCATATTCTAGTGCTCCTCTAGGCTACAAACCACACAGACTGTAACTGTAGTGAATACTATAGGCAATTATAATACTATAGTATTTACTTATTCAAGAATATCTATACCTAGAAAAGGTACAGTAAAAATGTGGCATAAACAATAATAAATAGTACACCCGGTATCAGGCACTTACTTGAATGGAGGTAGCTCTGGGTCAGTCAGTGAGTGGGGAGTGAATGTGAAGGCCCATGACATCACCCTATGTATACTTTATAAACACTGTACACTTAGGCTGCATTAAATTTATAAAACATATTTTTTCTTTCTTCAATAATAAGTTAGCTTTCTATAATGTATTTGTTTTAGAAAATGTCTAAAAACTATTTTATTCTTTTAATAACATGTAGTTTAAAACACATTGCACAACTATATAAAGATGTTTTCTTTCTTTTTCTTTCTTTTTTTTTTTTTTTGAGAGGTTTTCGCTATAGGGCACATGCGCTTGCCAGACAGACAGAGACATAGAGACAGAAAGCGAGAAATCACCCCCCAGGGGGATGGTAGGCTACTGCTCTTAACAATACGGCACATAAGCAATTTCAGCCTACAGACAATACTCAAAAGGCAAGAGAGTTTATAAACTTCCATTTAGGTTTCTTTAAAATATCCTTCTCCATCTTGTCAGTGATGTACTGAAAGCTCTTTGTGTTTTGGCTTGAATCTATGGAGACGCTATTCTAATTTGTTAAGTTTATAAATCCCTTCCTATAAAAGTCTTGCAACACACATTGGAACTTTGGGTTCCAGAAACCTTCTTCCTTATTTACTTCTCTTTGCCAGTGAAAATCAGACAATGTTTCTTTGACTGAAAAATGGGAAAATGACTATCCTATGCAATGTAGCTTCCATTAAATGGGAGGAAAGTTTTCTTAGGACATGTTTTTAACACTGCCATCTTCTCTCCAAAGGCCTGCTCAGATCCACCCCAAAAGAGTAATGCATTGATTAACAATGGGGGTATATTCTGAGAAATGTGTCATTAGTGTTTTGCTATCATATAAATATCATAGAGTGTACTTAGACAAACCTACGTAGTGTAGGATACATGGCATATTCTAGTGCTCCTCTAGGCTACAAACCACACAGACTGTAACTGTAGTGAATACTATAGGCAATTATAATACTATAGTATTTACTTATTCAAGAATATCTATACCTAGAAAAGGTACAGTAAAAATGTGGCATAAACAATAATAAATAGTACACCCGGTATCAGGCACTTACTTGAATGGAGGTAGCTCTGGGTCAGTCAGTGAGTGGGGAGTGAATGTGAAGGCCCATGACATCACCCTATGTATACTTTATAAACGCTGTACACTTAGGCTGCATTAAATTTATAAAACATATTTTTTCTTTCTTCAATAATAAGTTAGCTTTCTATAATGTATTTGTTTTAGAAAATGTCTAAAAACTATTTTATTCTTTTAATAACATGTAGTTTAAAACACATTGCACAACTATATAAAGATGTTTTCTTTCTTTTTCTTTCTTTTTTTTTTTTTTTTGAGAGGTTTTCGCTATAGGGCACATGCGCTTGCCAGACAGACAGAGACATAGAGACAGAAAGCGAGAAATCACCCCCCAGGGGGATGGTCACACCGCAATCCCTTCTCCTCCATTCTCCTTTCGGGATCTTGGGCACGCACGCACACGTGCCCGGTGTGAGTTTTAAGCCACCGGGTCCGGGATGCGAACCGTGGTCGACTACGTGGGAGTCCAGCGACATAGCCATTACGCTAACTGCTGGTTCCCAAGATGTTTTCTTTATATCCTTATTCTATAAGCTTTTTTCTATGTAAAATTTTATTTATCTTAAAGCTTTTTTATTCAAAACTAAGACACAGACTTTAGCCTAGGCCTAGACATGACCAGGACCATCAATATTACTGTCCACCTCCACATCTTGTCTCATTGGAAGGGTTGCATTGAACAGTACAATAGTAAATCAAGCACAAGAGAAAATGGTGTAGTCAAGAAACAAAGTAAATAAATAGGTGTATGAGGCTACTGCTGGCATAACATGGCAGTGTTTTATAGTAAACTTTTAAAATATGATTAAGTAGAAGTACACACTAAAATAACAACAAATATGTAGTTACAAATATGTAAACCAG